ACTCCAGGCTAGTTTGACGTTTGAGACTGCTTGTAGTTCTTTAATGGTTTCTACATGGAAACACTTCATATTTTTATGTAATAGCCCTCAACAAATATCAGTTATATTTAGTGATCACTGCAGAGCCCATTCTCCACTGGGGGAAAGAGAGCGTGTAGTTGAGTTAAGTCAGAAATGCAGATTCCCAGACAGAGAACACCAGCCAGGTCTGTGCAGAGGCTCTTTCCCCAGTTGTCAAAGTTTAGGTAGCCATGATTATGTTTGCCTCTGAGTATAGTGGGATTCATTCCTGAGACACTGTTGTTAGTACAGACAGTAGTCCATTGAGTGTCTCTGCCAGCCCATAACTCCTTGTTGAATTCAATCTTCAGTAGGATTTGTCCTGATCTTGTATTTCTTTCCATTGAAGGGAAAGAACCTATAATGTTTATCCTCCAGGTTAGCGTTAACAAGTTATACTCTGTAGGCCCTGCTTGGTCCAGGGCAAAAATCAATGGATGGAGCCCTGGGTGATGGGGATTCTTGGTATTAGAACAATTTGAGTGAACATGTGAATGGCTGTTCAGCATATCACCATCCACAGGCTATCAGCTGAATTTCTTCTTCATGTTTTCTTCTACAGGATAAGGCAGCTGCCTTATGTGGCACTGAGCCATACAGTATTGCTTCTGGAGTCTCCTTTTCCTATTGTAGCTTCAAGAGCTGGTGACTTCCCTTTCTGAATTGACTGTGACTATGTGTCTGTCTCCTGTGAGCAAGATGTAAAGAGGTGACAAGTTCAGCCCATCCCTGAACATCAACACTCTCCATCCCCACCCTGACAGGTGTGTCTTCCCCAGTCTCTCTCCTGTTCCAGTAGGAGCAGAGCTGGGAAACCTCCATCCCTGGTTGAACTTTAGTTTTCACTGAGTGAAACTGAGTTATAACATGTCTACAGTCCTCACAGAGGAGGCTTTGTCAAGAGGATTGTTGCAAGTTCAAGATGAATTGGGCTATATACAGAGACCCTATCTTTAAAGTAAGTCACTAATATTAATTAATTAGATATTTAAAAATTATACAGTATGAGGGATGGACATAGCTCTAATATGCTAATACCAATCCAAAAGAATCTCACCTATGTATTTGTATTTGTATTTCAAACAGAAAGCATATCAATGTAAGGAAAGTTATGTGGAATAAATCAATCCAGCAATGCCTGAGAAGGAAGAGCTTAAATCCCCAGGGGATATCATAGCAGTCCTTAATGCTGAAGCATTGACAGCAGAGCATCCAATCAAGTTCAATGAAATTACAAACACTTCAGAAAGGAATCATTGAATCCTCTGTCATCACCCATCTGCAGAGAGGGGACAGAAGCCAGAATGTCAAATATGGTGTCACGGGAATTAATAGCATAATCAGAAACACTAACGTCACTGACATATATAGACCATTTCTGCACTGTGTGACAGGCATAAATTCTGCTCAGTTACCACAACACATCTAGCTATAGAGACCACATTAGATGCTCTAAAACATACTTCATCATTTTCTCTTGTTTGCTCTTCTGGACCTAGAGGCAGTGGTGGTTTGTTTGAGAATGCCACCCACAGGATCATTGATTTGAAAACTTTGTCACCAGGAAGTGACACTACTTGAGAAGCATTAGGAAGTGTGACTTTGTTGGTGTAGTTGTGGCCTTGTTGGAGGAAATGTGTCACTGTTGGGGGGGGGTGCGGGGGGGGGGGGGTTTCTTTGGGGTTTCAAATGCTCAAGCCAGACAAGAACTACACCAGTGAGTACTCCAAATATGCAGGACCTACCCATTTCAGCCCAGGGCTTTAAAAGGTAAACCCCACAAAGTTATAGTTTTGGGTTTTGCAATTGTGTTTTTGAGCAGAGTAAGTAAGTCTGATGGTCAGAGGAGGACAAATAGCAAAATAGCATCGTGGTCTTCTTCTTGAGTGACAAGTAGAGATTGACAGTTCACTTTTCATTTTATGAGCCTGACATTGGGGAGGCTGCTTGTCTTTTTCTAGAAATCTCTATGGGAGTGCCAGAGACCTGTGGTTGGGTGATGGAAAGATGAACTCTTGGGGCTGCATCTCTTAGAGTCCTGCTTTCCCACCTCAGACCCAGCTCTGAGACCTGGTGCCCTGAAGCAGTGTTGTCTACCCTGATCCCTGTGCTGCTCCTGTTGACAACATCCTTCTGAGTCTTCTCAGTTTGGGGAAGAATGAGTCAGGAATTCCCAATCTGAATAACTGTCTTGTAGGATGATGACAGAAACACCTCTTGCTGGTGTCAAAGACTGGGGACCCCGCAGATCCCTGCACAAATGTGGAATTATAACTGATGGTTCTGACATCAACCTCGATCTGGAATCTGACTGTGAAGCCAAGTTCCCTGACACTGCATGAGGCTCTGAACATATCTGAGTCCTTCTGATCATAGGTCCTGGCAAAACAGACTTACTGGAAAAGCAGGGAAGTAAGGATTTGTGAAGAAGACATAGCTGAGAGAGACATGGAAAGGCCATGGTGGCCTACGCCATAGATAAAGCATATCCCTGACCGTACTTGGTTGCACAGATCCCTAGTCTTTGACCGAAACAGTAAACACCTAGGGAGAATGACTCCAGACACATACTCAGTATTGAAGACAGGTCTCATTCTCTGCAGATACAGGAAACAAAAACAGATGAGTCTGGGATGCCCACTTCCTCAGGATGGAAGACAACAGGACATACAGCAACAGTCCTCTAGAATCTACAGGGAACACTTTCCAAGTTCAGGAACAGATGTCTGAAGTAGTGAGTGAGGACCAGACATCTCTAAAAATATCAGCAACTTAAAGAGGGAAATTTTACAAGCCAGAACAGGAAATATCTTCAGTTTCTAAAGTAGGATTAGGGTGTTTATAGTGAACCCCACCCTGTGAGAAGGAGTTTTCAGAGCCCTGTTTATGTCAGCCCTAGAATATCTCCATAGTTCTAACAGTAACAACTATTTAAAGGGCACTAGATATATGGCCCAGTGATTAAAAGCATTGGTCACCCTTCCAGGAAAACTGAGTTCAATTCCCAGCACCCAATTATGCACTCAGAACCATTTCTCTCTGGTCGCAGGGTAACCAAAGACCTTTTCTGGCCTCCCCAGCCACTGTACATGAACATGAACATGGTGTACAGAAATACATGCATAGAAATGTTTCATACAAAAATAAAAATGAGCCAGGTGGTGGTGGTGCATGAATTAAACCCAGCTCTCAGGAGGCAGAGGCAAACATACCTCTAAATTCTAGGCCAGGGCCACAGGAGGCCAGCCTCAGAGCAAAGAACATAGAAATAGCATATCGGGAGGGAGTCCAGACTGGTCCTTATCTGTTTTATACCTCTGATCTTCAGGATGATGCTTCTCTAAGAAATTTCAGTGGGAGTGACAGAGACCGTATGGGTTGAGTCATGAAAAGATTAACTACTGTGAGAGGAATCTCTAGAGCCCTGATTCCCCACTCAGACCCAACTCTAGGGCCTGGTATCCTGGGAGCAGTGTCTGGGGACCAGTTGCTTACTGTGATCTCTGTACTGGTCCTGTTCACAACATCCTTCTGAGTCCTAGCCCAGATGCTGATGTAGCTGACAGAATCAAGGAAGGAAAGTAAAGTAAAGGGCTATGTACCTCACTGAAGTGTCTATCTCTGGGTCCAGATTCAGGGGGTTCATTGCCTCACTGTTGTGTCAGTTTTTTATTGGCCAGCTGAAGGCACCTGTACTAAGCCTTGGCTTCCTGGTGATCAGAGATCACAGGGATCTAAGGGAGGATGAAGGAATTTAGGATGGGAGTTGGCTGCTCTGTCAGTGGCCATGCACACCATGTCCAAAGAAGGCCAAGAGCAGAAGCAACAGGAGCTGAGAAAGATAATGCACTACTGACATATCTCTGATGATTTCCAATGCAAAAATCACCCCAGTGTCTCCTGTGACACCAGGCTGACCCTCCACAGACCCTCAAGACCCAGACATGCAGCACAATACTCTATATACCCACGAGAAGCCTTCTAAAGAACATCATACCACCCATGTTATGACCACCATTCAGTGTCAGTAAGATTAAGGACCCGGATGTACTTTCTCTTAACATTTCCTTGGGTCCTATGCAGATGTAGCCTCCTCTTGCCCCATCTGTGTCCATTCACACATCATTGCTTAGTTCTGATCTTATATTGGTGCCATAGTTTGGGTCTGTGGCCAGCGGCAGCTTCCATGGCTTATAGCTGTTGCATGATTGGGGGAAATAGGAAGCATCAGACATGCAGGAGGAAGGAGACTTCCTCTACTTAGGCTGTCCCTCCCTGCTGACTCCAGGGGCTCTGAGGTCAGATGTGGATCAGGTTTCAGCACTTGGTCAGAGGCTTGGTGCTGTGTCCAGGTATAGAGGGGTCTCTAGGACTTGCTGGAGGAAGGTATCCAGGCCTGAGCTGGATAGAATGTCTCACATACATGAGAAAGAAGGTCTTCACCACATTAACAAGAAAACCTGCCTTTCCTTCTCTAGGCTCCACTTTTAGGAGGTCTGCTTCTTAGATTTACCCCTAGGTAACTCTGAAGAATCTCCCAAGTGCCTGGCCTTGCCATAGTCCTCAACAAATATCAGTTAGATTTGGTGATCAGTTTAGAGCCCAGTTTTCCACTATGGGTAAAAGGACATTGTAACATGAATTTTTTTTAATGGTTTTCATAAACATCTATTTCATCATTAGTGGGTAGCACATTTAACAGTTAAATACATTTAAATAATGTATAGGTGGCTGCATGCCAGCAGCACTGATAACTAGATAACTATCCAACTAGAAACCAGCCAACAGGAAACTCTCTAAATATTTAAAATACAGCTCTTGTTTAATCATCCTTTGATTTGATCACCTTCTTGGGGGAAGGGGGAGCCTGCTGGTCACATGGAAATATATTAAGGGCAAATCTTCTCATAATCCTTTCCCAGAGTTTTCTTTCTACTGGATTAAGCTTCCAATTCCAAGGCAATCCTGAGTTTGTGGCCTCCAGCATTAAAGCTCTTCCCATCTACCAGAGCAGACAGTGTAAGCTTCCCACCAGGCTGCAGAGTCTGAGTACAGCCCACTCCAATTAAACTGGAGTTGTTGATCTTTGCAGAAATGGAAACAGTGGGATCCAACTGGTATTTAGCTGCAATCCCAAAACGAGTGCAGTTGGTACCCGATGTCCAGGCAAGGTTTTCTGAAGTGTCAAAATCTTTACATACTTTCTGATACATTGATCCTCCAAATTCTGTCCCCTTATTGACATTAGCATGTAACTGGAAGTCCCCAGTCCTGCAACCTACTGCCAAGTTACTCCTTGTCAGCTTTGACTTGGCACTGTCAAAGGTCATCTGGCACCCAGCAAGCCAGCCCTCGTAACCAAAGATAGCTGAGCCATGGATCTCAGGTCCAGCCAAATCAAAGTCAACATCACGGCCAAGGTTTATACACTCCCTCTTGTAAGCAGACTTGATTTTACCACTTTTCTTTCCTGTGTTTGGTGAAAAGGTAGTATCAAATGCCAGCTTCAAACCTTGACAGATCTGGTCTTCAGTGGCGATCTCTGTCCCCAGAGTGTTATTGGTGTTCCTTTTTTTTCTGTGAAAGTCAGACCGTACTCATACCCAAACCGTTTGTATTTGGTCTCCAAGGTCCCACTAACTTCACCAGTGTCCGTATTAGATGAACCAGATGTTGAAAATTCCACACCACTGCATGACTTCATTTTCACATCCAGCTTTACCAACCCAAAGCCAAATCCCTTGTTGAAAATATCTCTGGCGGCTTTGTCAAGGTCAGCATAGGAGGAAGGGATACACATTGGCCTCGGGCATGTTGGTATACAACCGTCTGCCATAGCAAAACCATGGGAAAAGGCGATCTACGGGTGTCCTGAGTGGCGTTGCCTCGGCCCCTCTGCTAAGCTGAGGCTGCTCTGTTATCTGGAGATTGTGCTGCAGTCACCATGGCTTGACAATTCCTCAACTGAAAGGAGAAGATCCTGTCTCCACGAATCCTCAAACTGAATGCCCCTGACTCCTCAGGCAAAAGGGTATAACATGAATTCTAATTGGTCTCAATAATAAAAACCCGGAGTCAGATATTAGGGTAATAACTGAAAGACCAGAGAAACAGAGCAGCCAGACACTAGAGTTCTTACCTCTACTGAATCCTCAGCCCGAAAGGAGACTGAGCTCCTGTCTCCTCCCACCTCATATTCCTCTCTCTGTCTAGCCATATCGCTTCCTGTGGCCACCCCCTAGTGCTGAGATTAAAAGTGTGAGATCCCACACGTTGGGATCAAAGGTGTGTGCCACCACTGCCTGGTTATGTTTCTCTTTTAAACTATTCCATAGCCCAGGGTGGCCTTGAACTTCTGATCTTCCTGCTAATTCCTACCAAATTCTGAGATTATAGGTGTGTGAAACCACTGCCTGTCCTCTATGACTATCTAGTGGCTAGCTCCACTCTCTGATCTTCAGGAGAGCTTAATTTTTTAAAGCACAAACAAAATATCACCACTGGGAGAGTGCAGTTGAGTTAAGGCAGAAATGCAGATGTTGGGATGGTGAACACCAGACAGTCTGAGCCCTTGGTCCCCTTTGCAGAAGCTCTTTCCCTCATAAACTCTGAACTCCCATAGATGGTTCTGGGTCAAAGACATAGTTTCAGTACTAGCAATTGAAAGGTATGGGGTCAGGGCTTCCCTTCTCCTTTATAAGTGGAGTCTGAGTCAGCACTGGTCTCTCTTCACTTTATGACCCTGATTTGGTTTAGGCTGATGGGCTTCTCTGAGAATTACCAATAGAAGAGAGAAAAGGAATGGTCAGTTGTGTAAAGAAAAAGATCAGCTCTTGAGAACATGAGTCCCTACAACCCATCTCCTCACTCTGACCCAGCTCTTTGTCTTGGTGTCCCCAGAGCAGTGTCTGGGGACAACTTGATTCACCCTGATCCATGTCCTGGCCTTGATCAAGATGTTCTTCTGAGTCCCAACACAGTGGGCAATATGTAAGCTATTCTAGAGCATTTTGATCTCAATATGTCTACACACACTTAGAAACTATGTGAAACTAAAGGTAAACATGCCTACATGACATATATCAATCCATACTGACTGCCTTAGGAATTGAGAATGTTGAGACTCTTTGTTGAAGATAATGCCAAATAATGGCAACCTGGGGTCAGAAGTTTTATTTGAGGATCAATACACATTTGTTCTTATCAGTGGAGACATGCAGGGCTTGGGAATTCTTATACTTCTGATTGTCTTTAGGAGACAACCATGTCAGAGACCTATGCTTTGGTGACTACTGTGAAATCCTCTAGGGATTTAAGCAGTTTTTCAACAGGTAGTGCCCAGTTTATATATTCCACATAACTTTCCTTACATAAACCTATTTCCTGTCTGAAATTCAAATACTTAGTTAAGATATCTGTAGAATGGCAGTAGCTTAGAACAGTTTTGTCTAATACTTACGATTTTTTAAATTATCTTTTTAATTCTTTTTTTATTTATCAGATTTTAATGACTTTTTTGGAGACAGGGTCTCAGGATGTAGCCCACTTTGTTCTTGAACTTGCAAATCTCCTGTTGGCAGAGCTCCTCCTGCTGGTATTACTGACATATTATAGCGTCTAAAGGCTGTCAGAAACCAGGCTTGGACTCTAACAAATTTGGTGAGAATACCACAGACATCCATGGTTGGACAACGAAAGAAACATTCCTAGCTATGTCAGTGACCATCAACAAGAGAAGACAAGGACACCAGATTGAAACACAGAACTGAGAACAAATGTAAATCCTGTAGTACCGTGAATCTCAACATCTTTTGATGGAATATCAGAATCATGACTGCCAACATGAAAGAACAGCACAGACACTGGACAGACCCTACAAATGCCTGAGATCTTTTGTTCACATGTCCTGGTGAACAGGTTTATTGAGAGAAAAGGGATGAGGAGCTAGCAAGATGGCAGAGGTGGGAAAGGACTATATGAAACCCCAGGGTGGAGGGTGTAATTGTGCACACACTGGCCTCACATGTCTCCACACAGCCTTCAACTTCAGGAGAGGTAATGGAGTTACCTCAGACTGGCCACACTGGAAACAGCCAGGCATGGTGACACACGCCTTTAATCCCAGAAAGTGAGCCTTTAATCCCAGGGAGTGGTGGTAGAAAGCAGAAAGGTTTATAAGGCGCGAGGACTAGAAACTAGAAGCATTTAGCTGGTTAAGCATTTGGCTGGTTAAGCTTTGAGCAGCAGTTCAGCTGAGACCCATTCTGGATGAGGACTCAGAGGCCTCCAGTGTGAGGAAACAAGACCAGCTGAGGATCCAGCAAGGTGAGGAAGCTGTGGCTTGTTCTGGTTCTCTGATTTTCCAGTGTTCACCCAATACCTGGCTCAGGTTTGATTTTATTAATAAGAACTTTTAAGACTCCTGCTCCAGTGAGGGGGTTAATGGAGGGTAGTGGGTGGGGGGATGAGAACATAAGGGACTGAGATGGTTGAATTGGAACAGGAATGGAGTGGGAGAGCAATGAAAGAGATACCATGATAGAGGGAGACATCAAGGGAACAGGGAGAAACCAGGTGCTAGGGAAGTTCCCAGGAATCCACAAGGATGACCCCACCTTAGACTATTAGCAATAGTGGAGAGGGTGCCTGAACTGGCCTACCCTGGTAATCAGATTGGTGAATACCCTAACTGTCATCATAGAGCCTCCATCCAGTAATTGATGGAAGCAGAGGCGAAGATCCATAGCCAAGCACTAGGCTGAGCTCCAGGAGTCCAGTTGAAGAGAGAGAAGAGGGATTCTATGAGGAAGGGGCATCAAGATCTTGATGGGGAAACCTACAGAGATAACCAAACCAAATAAGTGAGAACTTATGAACTGTGGACCAATAGCTGTGGAGCCTCCATGGGACTGGACTAGGCACTCTGTATAGGTGAGACAGTTGTTTAGTTTGACCTGCTTAAGGGGCCCCCTGGCAGTGGGATCAGGATCCATTCCTGGTGCATGAGTGGTCCTTTTGGAGCCCAGTGCCTATGGTGGGACACCTTACACAGCCTTGGTTCAGGGGGGAGGGGCTTGGAACTGGTTCAACTGAATGTACCAGGATCTGCTGACTCCCCATGGGAGTTCTTGCCTTGGAGGAGGTGGGAATGAGGGGTGGGTTGGGGGGAAGGCTGGGGGGAGGGCAGGGTGAGGGAGGAGAGGGGGATCTGTGGTTGGTATGTAAAATGAACAGAAAATGTCTTAATAAAAAAAAAGAATTCTCAGCTTCTTCTCTAGCACCATGTTTGCCTGCATGCTGCCATGCTTCCTGCCATGATGATAATGGACTAAACCTCTGAACTGTAACCAAGCTCTCACAATCAAATGTTTTTCTTTACAAGACTTGCCATGGTCATGGTGTCTCTTCAGAGCAATAGAAACCCCAACTAAGACAGTGGCCTGTTTGAAAAACAAAAGAAAATAGCTATTGTAGTGTTTGAAGGTAAGATTTTTACAGTCACTGTGTGGATGGTTGAAAAGGTGTCAGGTGGGGCTGGAGAGCTGGCTCAGTTGGTTAAGAGCACTGGCTTCTCCTCCAGAGAACTGTGCTTCAATTCCCAGCACCCACAAGGCGGCTCACAGTATTCTGGGAATCTCTGAACTAAGCACTCAGACACCAATGACATTGCAAGAGAGCAGTGGCCCCAGTGGATAGAGCCAGGACAGCTCCTAGTATAAGAGTAAGAGCTAGACAATGGTAGGCCTGAGCTAATGGCTGAGCAGTTTAAATAATATAAGCATTTGTGTGTTTATTTTATAAGTGGGCTATGGAACTGCTGGGGCTTGGCGGGACCTGGAGAGAAAAACTCCAGCTACAAATGGCGCCCAACGGGTTGGTAAGAGTTTCCACCTAAAATCTGAGAAAAAAGATTCTAAAATGGAGCTAAAAACTGCTTCCCAGTTGTCTCTCTCAAGTTGGCATGCTGTGGGATGGTCTGTATGTCAAATGTGTTGCTGATTGGTCAATGAATAAATCACTGATTGACTGTGGGCCAGGCAGAAAAAGTCTAGCAACAAATGGCGTCCAACGTGGTGGCAAGAGTTTCCACCTAAAACCTGAGAAAAAAGATTCTAAAACGGAGCGAAAAACAGCTTCCTAATTGTCTCTCTCAAATGAGCGGCAGCTGCCGGTTTGAGCTACTGGCGGGTTGCTGGCGTGTGCGCTCGACCTGCAGTATGGCGGGAATGAGGCCTCTGCAAGTGGCACATTAAGCTACATTGTGGATTTAGCCTTTGCTAGTACAAAACAAAAAAAGAGGTTTCTGGGCTACACGCTGCTTGGATAAAAGCATAGACCCACGATGGCTCCCAGAGCTGGTGGTAAAGTACCACGCCATGTTGGGAAGCTGAGGTGGGCGGAGCCAGCAGCCACAGCTGCTGCAGCTTAAAGCAATAGATTCACAATAAGACAGATTCAGATGTAATAGTTTAAAATGTGTGTAAAATATACGTAGGCTTGAAAGAGACAAAAAAAGGTGATATATACAGTATAGAAACAAATACAGAGTTTTAAAAAATAAAGTCTTTTAAGAGACAGTAAAATTAGTATGAAAAATAAGCCACGTGAAGATGACTATTACACAGAGAATCTGGATTGTGTTGTCTTTGGGATTTTTAACTGCAGAAAAACATTTGATTGTAAAAGCTGTTGAGTTAAACCAATATATATATTTTAAAGATACCTTGACTTCAAAATTTGGATATAAGGATATGTTGCTTTGGAAAAGAGTCTCTTTTGTTTCCACAGAAAACAAGAGGC